TTATATAAAGTTATTTTTTCCATCTCGTCCGCCCCTAATCAGGGTTGCTTCAATGGAACTGAAATGTCGGGTGATTAAAATTATAAAAAATGCGAAGTAAATCGAAAATCTTAGTTTTATTTAAATAAATACAAGGGAAAATCTTAGGAACCCTTAAAAAATCGTATTGTTTGTACTTAAAAAATAATATTACAAAGTGCTAGAAATATTTCAATAAATTTTTATTATTAATTTTTTTGTAATAATTTCATTCGTCTTTAACAAAATATATTTCTTGCTCTACCATTAATTTTAAAATGGTATCCATTTTCAGGTAATTATGTAAGTTCTATATATATAGAATTATTAAATTAACTCTCTTGGCTTTTAACAAATTTCACATATATTTTTTTAATGCTTCATCCCTAGATATAACTTTTTATATTTAATTATATGTATATAAAAATAGCATTAACATTGTCTTCTACGCCAAACTTTGCAGACATTGTGATATTAGTAATTTAAACTTTTTTAAACTTATCCTGATTTATGTCATTAGTTGGTTTATTTAGAAATATTTCTACATTTTAAATCGCCAATTTCACATATACATAATAGGGTCAACTGAAAGCAAAAAATACAGAAAATGACTTGAAATTTTGATTTCACTGTTTTCTTGAAATTCTTTGATATATTAGTCTTGGACAACTTTAACAAATATGTATTCTTAAAAATATTCTCATTCGTTTATAAATATTAAAAACAGTAGTAAAACATAGCGACCGACGTTTTAATTTGATTTTATTTCGCAGTCAACAAGTCTTACCACGCATTGTGTAAATGGAAAACAAAATGATCTTTCACTAAAACCGAGACAAAGCGTAAGAATTTTATTGTTGGATATTCTTTTTATCTTATTCGTAAACTGTGATGCAAAAGTTTTGACTGGAACGGAAATTATTATGGAAGTGTTAAGTTATTACCAACAATGTTTTTAAATTTGCAACGGCTGTGTTTATTGCAGACAATTGCTAGCGAAACCGTATTCCGCATTGTCTCCAATCAGCTTTGAAGTAATCAAAGTGACATTACCAGAAATATAAAAGTATCAACTCCGTAGCACAGTAAAAAGTAAAAGTGAATAGTTGGCTATCCGTTTAAAGTTTACTTATGTCATTTACTGTGTAATTTTTATAAAATAATTATGATATTTTTTTTGTGGAATACAAATAAAACTATATAGATTTAGAGAAAATATAATCAGAAGCGAAGCGGTTGATTTTCCATAATTTTGTTTTGAAAAAAACGTCATTCGTGGGTTTTCCATTGGTTTTGCACATAGTTTATATTACCTAAAATATATGTAACTATCATTTTATAGAATCATTTTGTTCATGGACAGAAGCAGTTGTTTAAGCAGAATGATAGACTGCGTGCATCTGTTTGAGATCATTAATAATCATTATAGAATACTGGTGAATGCAGTGATGAGACCAGCGGCCTGAAAACAACGATAGAGCCATAAAATAAAGCCAGTGTCGGACATGAGACAGATAAATCAGATACATTTGTACGCGCGTCGACGGCCTTCAGCTATTCACTGTTTCCATCATGTCCTCGTGAATTATGGCTTGATTGACAAATACTTCAGTGTTACAAATAATTATAGTAAAATTTGCTTACAATATCTATATTATGTCTGTATTTGCAGTAAGATATAAAAATCTATATTTATAAGGATGATATTTTATTATGATAAGGTTCATTGAAATGAGGATAATCTTGTTAGAAAGTTTTTGGGTAGCATGATTTACATAAAAAAATTAATATTGAATAAATTATCATAATTATTATGTGATATTTAATTATTATACATAGAAGAGAGAGACATGAGTAAATCCAATCATATCATCGTATCAGTAAAAAAAATATTGATAAAATTGCAAAGTTAACGAGAGGCTGAAGTCTGTACTGATGAACTAACAATAGATTTGATTTTGACATATTGCGTTCCCCATTCATCGTTAGTCTACTCCATTATTTATTATAGGCAATCTTCGTCACCGTCATCGATAGTTTGCGAAATGTTGTGGTTATTCAACGATACGATATTGTTTTCCTTTGTTAGCTAAATGTATATAGTTTTTTTTATCTTTTTTATATGTCAATAGTTTTTTTTTTGTTAACAGTTTAGTTAAAAATCCAAGCCCCATGAAATTTTTAGTTTGTTTTTATTAGTTAAAACTCGAAATCAAAACAAATCACTAAAGAAGAAAAAAAGAACAGGACATACATGGTACTTTAAATTAAAAGTTAAGGTAAATAAACGAAATTTACGAAAAAAGAACAGATATAGCTACATCAGCAATCACAGAGTGAAAAATATTTTCTGTAAATAGATATTCCAGGCTAAATTCCAACTTTAAGTGTGGTGTACACAACTTCGTTGATGTAGCAAAATAATAAAGTGTGACGGTATACAATTAATAACAATCCTTAATTAGATAGCGTTTGTTGAGTAGAGTTGCTAACAATTAAGACAAGCTTATATACCATAACAAAGAATTCAACCTGTGTACAACAGCCTTTAGTTTAAATAAAACGTTAAAGACTCTTTTTAGCACTATTTTTAAGCTAACGTTACTAACGTTGGCTTAAAAAGAGCGTTTGATGTTTTATAACTAAATTTGAAAATTTTACTGAATGTAAATATTGTCTGTGTACGCGTACATTTTATTTGTAGCCAATGAAAATAAAAATAAATATAAAGTCTTGTATGTTTTTATTCATATATATTTTAGCTTAAACATTTTCTTTTGAGTGTGAATAGTGCTCTAAAGCTAAAGCTTGTTGAAAGGTTTGTTTTTATATTTTAGTTATAGCAGAAAAAAATAACATTATTGTAATTTTATGAGATATTTTAATAAATTTTTTCAATAAAAGTTATTCTTACTTATACAATTGTTAATTTAGGAACCTTGAAAATTATTTCCTTTTCAAATAACGGAGCTGAAGTTATTCCTTATATTTATATTAAAGAAAAAGTAAAATATATTTGTAAGTTATCTTGGTTGTCAATTATTTTGACTGTTCTATAGTTTTTCGTTTATATTTAGCAAATCAAATCGTTTGCATACATATTTTAATTATTATTTTATTGTATTCTACTATCAAATAAATAGTTTTAAATTTATAAGCATTACCTGATTTAATGTAAATAGATATGTCACTTGCATTCAATATAAAACTAACATCGAATTTAGTCCTGTTTTGTATAGGAAATGAATAAAATAGTGATCTAAATAACTGTTAGACCAATATGCTAGTATCCTATCTCTACGAGTATAATCAATTCATATCGTATTATATTTGAACATATAATGAAGATCCTTTATAAAGCTACTGTTTTGAGCTGTTGTTACTACGTCATTTAATAAAACGTAACATAATTAGTACAAATGGAAATATATCATTTTTGTATCATTGTCTTGATTTAAATGTATTATGATGGAGCGAATTATATGTGCAGATATAATTGGAGAGGTGAAAAGCTACATGAGTTATATTTGTCTGTGGGATTTTAGTATGAACATAAGTGGAATATAAAGAAAGAAATGAGATAAGAATTTGATGAATGACGTTCTCAGAAGTTCTGAAAAGGTATATACATACAATAAGTTTAAATTACAACTATGTTATATAATTTTTGAAGTTATTCTTAAATGTATTATAACGTTGCTTCTTTGCAGACTTGATTCTAATCAATAAAGCTTACTGTGAGCATAATAGTAAATGAAATAAAACATTTGGATTCAGATTATTTTTATTTTCAATTCGTTTAATATGGAGCATGAACTGATACAATGAAACCAAATCTTGAAACGAGACTGACGTGTTAGTCTTACTGAATCTACTAATATATAATATAAATGTGAGCATGTTTGGTCGTAAGGAAGTATTCATATAGATATATGGACTTTGATTGTACAGATGTATGTTCTTTCTGCGACATAAAATATAGACTATTTTTTTATGCCGTGGCTTACTTCGCACTGGAATGGTGGTATATTTTGCCAATGTCAACGTGATATAGACTATAAATTATCCTGAAATTACGTGTCTTTACCGGAGATATCACTGTCAGTTGGTGTGTGTGTGTCATACAGGTATTCTTTTTAACATACGATCTAAAACTGTTCATTTATTATATTGTTTTAGTAAATCAACGAACAATTTTAGAAACCATATTGAATTAAACCATATAGTTGCAGTGAATGCACCAATTGTTTACTCATAGTTTGATTAAATCCGTTCGGATATTTACCTTTGGCACCAAAAGTTTATTGAAATATAAAATATTTCAATGACATATTGCGTACATAAACAAACAGTACCAGACCTCATCTTCAGACTACGGATTATTTCAACGGTCCAATTCACCTCAATCATGGACAAACACGATTGATAGTAGTCGAATGTGAAGCTAAGCTTTATCTTTGAAACACGAAGAGCTGTTAAGAACATACTATGTTCAGTCACAGTCGGTCACTTATACAGTTTCTGTATCGTCTAGAAGCTGTATTAAATTGGAATTCCTCCTTTAGACCAGAGCCAATTTAGTGGAACTTCTTTGGCCATTTTGACCAATGTTATGTGAAATTGTCAAGTTTAATTTCTTGTACACAGTTTCTACTTTCTTATAATTTGATACATGTGATAGTAATTATTATTTATATCATGGATGTTAGTTTTATATAATTTACGAATTAAGTTGGGTATTAGGTGAAAACTTGCTATTTTTATCTTTTATAAGTAATCGTTACTGTTATATTCGAAAAACATTTTCGAGAAAAAATGAAAAAATGAACACAACAAATAATATGTCACCGATCACAACTAATTATATTGATATTTTTACTTTCAGACTTCATATGGCTTAATTTTGTCTCTATACCATTCTATGAAATTGAGGGAGATTTTATCCCCCTATGAAAAGGTATAAATTACTCTACATTATGCAGGTAAGCGACCAGCTGAATGGGACCTATATTCATCAATTGCGCTTCCGTTCATGTATCGAATTAGTACTAGGGTTGGCAACCGAGAGGGTGGCTAGGGGCTCAAATTTAAATGGTGGGGGAAGGTGTGGTGTAGCAATTCGTCTCGTCAGTCCAGTTCTAGCTTATCGAACATTCCACACTGGGCTGGCACATGTTAACTGAAACTGATTTACGACATTGGTTATAGTTTATTTACTAACGGACAACATTGCGTTTGTTCTAATTAGTTTGGCTCATAATTATTCACTGCTATTGCTAATAAATTCCCATAATTATTTATAGGCGTCGACTGTTTATGAAAATATTCTCGTGTACAATATATACTTAAATAATAATAATATAAAGTAATATTATAACTCATTAAGTGAAATAATGTTTTGTTTAGATAAATATCTTAATAATAAGCTTAAATTACTCCAGGAATTTGAAAAGGAAAACAAAGGATTAATAGTTGCTTGGGAAATACGAGAAGCGTATCAAAGAAAATGTCGGCGTAATAGCATTTTCAACTTAATATCGGCACTCAAAGAATACAGATTGTAGTGACATTTTATTGATGCCTGGGAAATTGAGTCCAGGGAACATAAGGATGTTATTAATTGAAATAAATAATGGGGTATATATTTTATAATTAGTTATCTTCCAACAGTAACATCAATTTCCTAAATAAATGTATTTAAATAATAACAAAGATATAGATGGGGAGTCGCGTACGAACGCTTGTACGGAGTGCTTGTGCGTAATACATTTTATATTCGCTGCGCCTATTATTATTAGCTTGTTTACATCGCATTAGCGTCGGACGACCGATACCTACTGGCCTTATCGCCGAGCGGTTATGCGATAAACAAACCTTATTCTCGGAAGGATGCGTTTTGTTTTTGTTAACAATGAATGATAATGATGTAGAATTTTTTAACATAGAAAATTGTGAGACGGAATGTATTTTGAATAAAAATATGAATGATGAAAATACAGTCAATATGGAGAAGAAAAGCGGAGATAAAGATGAATATGAGAGGGTTAGACCTTGTAAACGTGAAAGAGAAGATAATATAAGTGCCGAAGAGGGAGATGATGTGATACCTGAAGAGTGGAAGACGGTTAATAGAAGAAAAGACAAAAAGCTGAAAAATGAGATAATGGAAGTTTATATATCATGTAATGAAAAGTTACCTAAGCAGTTTGAGTTGGCACGCACATTTAAATCACTTAATATCACGGATATTAATAAAATAAAATATATATCGCCATATAAAATTAAAATAGAATGCGAAAATGAAAAATGTTTATGGTCTTTAGTATCTTGTCAGGAATTACTGGAAAAGGGATGGAAATTTCAAAAAGCTTTTGAGGTTAACTTTTCTTATGGTGTTATTAAGAATGTAGACATCGATTTATCTAACGATGAAATTTTTAATAATATTGTATGTACAGAACCGGCAATTCTATCAGCTGTTCAAAGATTGTCTCGCCTTGGTGAAGATGGAAAATGGATACCTAGCGAAACAGTGCGACTCTGTTTTAAATATTCGTATTTACCACCTTTTGTTACGGTTCACGGCTTACGTATAAAAGTGGAGCCGTTTGTGTTTCCAGTCTCGCAGTGTTCTAAGTGTTGGAGACTTGGACATACTGCCAAAAGATGCCCTATAGACAAAGTAGTTTGCCCTAAATGTGGTGGTAATCACGATAATTGCACCATTACGTCTTTTAAGTGTGTAAATTGTGGAGAAAACCATATGTCCTTTAATAAGTCTTGCCCGGTATTTAAAAAAGAGAAAAAGATTCGCCAAATTATGTCTGAGTTCAACGTAACATACAGAAAAGCTCGTACAATGTATGTGGCAGACCCCTCACCGAATACTAATGCAAATTACAAACCTAAGATAGCTAGTAATACTTTTAACGAATGGAGTGATTCCGTTAAACCAAGCTTTTTTGAACCACAATCTGGAACCTTGAGTTTTGGATCAACTAAAGAATCAGTTGATGCTCCATCCTACTCTAGTGTGGTAAAAATAAAAAAGGTGGCAAAACAGAATTCGAATAGATTACCGGGGCGTATACCTTTAAAGTCCCGTAATACAAAATTATCAGGTGAAACAGAGGTGAAAGATTATTTATCGGATACAAGTATTGATAACGAGTCCAAAATTGAAGGGAAAGATGGGGAAGGGACTAGCTTACCAAAGGACATCACATTTATGGAACTTCTATCAAGATTAAAAGAAATTATATTTTTGAAACAGGATTCTTTACAAACAAAAGTGTTTAACGTTATAAAGTGTTGTGTGGAATGGGTAATATTAGTTGTAGTCGAAAATATTGCTGAATGGCCAGTTTTGTCTAATATTATGAAAATTTTTAATTTAAATACTAATAATGGGTGATCCGCTTAATATAAGTTTAAACATAGCTCAATGGAATGCACAAAGTTTAAGACCAAAGTTGCTGTCATTTGAAAATTTGCTTATTCAAGAGAAAATCCACATTGCTTCAATCTGTGAAACATGGTTAGAACCTGACAGTCAACTTAATGTAAAAGATTATTCTATTTTCCGTTGTGACCGATTCGATTCATATGGTGGAATTGCAGTATTTGTTCATAAATCGGTAAAGTGTAAAAACACTACGGTAAATATTTCCAATTCAAATATTCAAATGTCACACATTGAACTATTTAACTGTAGCGAAATCAAAAAGTTAATATCGGTATATTGTCCACCATCAGTGAATACACGACCTCAAGATTGGGAAGAAATATTTTCCATAGCTTCTAGAAATACTCTTATTATTGATGATTTTAACGCGCACCACACCAACTGGTCTCGGAAAATAGATTCAAGGGGAACTCAAATACTTGATGCGTTAGTTAATGCTCAGTTCGTTACGGTTAATGACTGCACACCGACTCGTATTAAAATGGTTCAGGGTGTATTCCACCAATATTCCCCTGATATAGTTTTTGCATCATCAGATATAGCACTTAAAGTAAATTTTCAAGTTTTAAATGAAATGTTGGGGAGTGATCATTGTGTCATAAAAATTTCTACTAAGATTAAACCTGCCATGAATTCTATAGTTAAACGTAATTATAAGAAAGCTGATTGGGATTCATATAAAAAGCTATTAGATCGAATGTATGCTAATCTCTGTTTTCCTGATGATCTCCAGCAGGCTTATAACTTATTTATAGATTATATGAATATTGCAGCAGATTTGCATATTCCCTGTAGCAAAATTAGTCGAAACCCATCCACTAAATTTACTCCAAGAGCCTATTGGAATGAAAATTTGTCTAAGGTGGTGGCCGAACGCCGTCTGGCTTTATCGACATTTCGCCGGAATCCAATTCCTGTTAATTTTGACAATTTAAAAGAAAAAATACGAATAGCACAATCACGTTTCCGTAAGTCTAAGGACTTTAGCTGGTATGACTTTTGTTCATCTTTTGTCCAAACGACATCGATGTACGATGTGTATCGAAAAATGCGTTGGGTGAAGGGTATTAAGTCTCCATCCACTTACATTGATAGGGATACAGCCTATAAGTTGCTACAATGTTTAGCCCCTGATTTCGTGATGCCAAACAAACCAGTTTTCAAATCCCAAAACTTGAATTTAGATTCTCAAATAACATTTTCTGAATTAAAAAATAGTATTAGAGCAAAAGACTCTAGTCCAGGTTGTGACAACATATCTTATAGTATGTTACGAAATTTACCTTTAAACGGTTTGAGGTTGTTGTTAGAACTTTTTAATAAATTTTATCGATTAGGTTTTGTACCCTCCCAGTGGAGAGATGTAAAATTAGTGGCTATACCTAAACCTGGCAGAGATTCTAATAGTTTATCATCTCTGAGACCTATTTCAATGATGTCGTGTGTTTGTAAGGTATTTCATACTATTTTAAACTACAGGTTAGAATGGTTTTGCGAAAAAAAGCGAGTATTTTCAAATAACACAATTGGTTTTAGGAAAACATTTTCAACTTACAATAATTTGGGTATCTTAGTAAATCAAGTTTTAATAGGCTTTTCTAAGAAACAAAGTACTTTTGCCAGTTTTATTGATATAGATAGTGCGTACAACAACGTAGATGTCACAGTTTTGCTTACCACTATGGATCAGTTGGGTGTGGGCTCTAATTTGTGTACTTACTTATGGAATGTCTTGCATAATAGAAGACTTATAATAGAGTCTGATGGAACTATTATGTTTAGGAGTACAAGTCGTGGCTTAGCCCAAGGCGATCCAATGTCACCTTTGTTATTTAACATCGCTACGGCCAGTATTTGTAAGACTATCAGAGATGTTAATATAAGTCAATATGCAGATGACTTTGTACTTTATATTACTTGTAACGATCTGATGGTCGCCAAATCTAAGCTACAATCTTCTCTTAATAAGCTCAATGTTATGTTGACTAGTTTAGGACTTGAAATTTCAGCATCAAAATCTAAGGTATGCATCTTCAGAAGGCATCGTAAAACAGAATCGCTTGAAATAGCAATAAACAATAAAACTTTGCAATTGGTGCATGATATCAAATATCTTGGGATATGGTTAGATGAACAACTCAGATGGACTAAACACATAAACTATATTTCCGAAAAAACAATGAAATGTATTAATGTTTTGAAGATTTTGGTGGGACCTGGTTGGGGTGTCCATCCAATGTTTTTGAGACGTCTGTATATTTCGCTGATACGAAGTCGTTTAGATTACGCGAGTTTTCTTTATGATAATTGTAGTAATACTCAGTTACAAAAGATAGACAAAATTCAAAATTTTTGTATGCGCATTATTGGTAGTTTTATAAAATCAACCCCTATTCACGTAATGCAATGTGAAATCAATTTACAACCTTTATTTGTCAGGAGATATTTTTTGGCTTCAAAATTTTGGCTTAAATGTAAATCGTTTGAAGATAGCATTATAATTAATCAACTAAATGAATTACACACTTTATGTCGAGATAACAATTATTGGCAACGTAAAAAAAATCCCCTACTGGTAACTATCCACAGGCATCTTGAAGAAGTACCTATTTATAGATCGAAACAATTAGAAATGTTTTCTTTAGACACATGGGTAAGCAATGTGGATTTGTCTCAGAATATCCGATTTGAAATAGATTTTGTAGAAAAGGGCAAAAGTAAATTTCACACTTTGGAACTATTACAAATTTGTGAAAACTTTTTAAATAAAACCTATTCACAATTTTATAAAATTTATACAGATGGGTCCAAACATTGTCAAGAAGTTGGTGCGGCATTTTTTGATATTCAGACAAAAAGTAGTATTCAATTGAAAATAAATTGCTATAATATATCTATCATGTATTTAGAACTGATAGCCATTTTGGAGTCATTATCTTATATAAATTCTGTCGATTCAAACAACTTTGTCATTTTGTCTGACTCAAAAAGTGCTTTGCAGCATTTGGCTCGATGCTCCTCGACTTTTCGAGGTGCACCGATAGCCTATGCCATTATGGATTCTATACGTAACCTTCAAAGTAAATACAATAAAAATGTAGTGTTACAGTGGATTCCTGCTCATGTCGGCCTAATAGGTAATGAGGTTGTCGATAGGTTAGCCAAAAAAGCGTCAGTGGAGGGTATTTTATTTAATTACGAACCTTATTTTACAGATATAATATTTAGTGTTAAAGTACATTGTAGAAATTTATGGAAAGAATTTTTTGACGAGCGATCACTTTCTAGAGGCATTTGGTATAAAACAATCCAATCGCAACCTTCTGGTTTCACTTGGATTGATGGAGCAAATATGAGCAGAAGTGAAATTGTAACAGCCCTAAGGCTTCGTTCTGGACATATTCCCTTAAATAGCTTCAGTTTTTTAATGGGTAAAGTATCTTCATCACATTGCTCTGTATGTGGCGTAAGAGAAGATCCTGTGCATATTATTACGGAATGTGTACGGAACGAGGCTGAAAGAATGGTCTTTTTGCGGAAATACAATTTCACATTCGAAACAGGGTATTACAATAGTGTTTTGTCAAATCCGTTATCCGACGCTGCTAAAGAATTATATAAAGTTGTTTTAAAAGGCATTCAGCGTAGGTAATAATACATATATAGTAATTTAAGTTTAGATATGTAGTAATTAAATAAGGAAGTATGAATTGTAGCACTATGAGGGTGACATTTTCTAAATAGAAAAAACCCTCCCTTAAAAAATAAAGAGAAAAAAAAAAAAAAAAAAAAAAAAAAGATATAGATCAGGTAAAATACTGAGCTCCGTCACTAAAGACTATGGCGTCGTTTGGAACTGAGAGAAACCTGATTTGACTCCGCAGAGTAGGTATCAGCATGTACCCAGGGGAAGTTTCATTAACTGGTGATATTACGTTACAATGTGCCTGAAGACGGTGCTGCGATGTTTTGACCTAATTAATATATCACCGAGGGATAAGTCTGCCGAGCTAATTTTGATTAATTGCTAGAGATACAGTTTTATCGGGTTACCTCGCCTTGTTTCAATTACCATGATATAATAATCAGTCATCTCATTATAATGTGAGTCACTTTCAACTTGCTTATTATTTTCGTATACGGAATAAAGGTAGGTAATAATAACTTCTGAAATTTAACGTATATATGTATGAGTTGTCGATTATCACTGTCTGCAAAATACAATGAACAATTGAATATATAATGTGGTGTTATTTTAAATGTTATTATTATTTTAAATGCATTATAAGTTATGCAATAAATATATATATGATATTTATACTGTTGGCGAAAAACATTTAAAGAAATTCTAGTTTTAAAGTTCAAGTATTGGTTTAAAGTGAAAATCAATAAAAACGATATTTGAAATCTATTAGTTATCTCTTTTAGTCTTTATGTAGAAAATGTGTTCACCTTTGTACTTCTTTCATTTGGTCTATTAAATTTGTATTTCTATTTCATGGGGACAATCTATCAATCAAATTCTTGGTTTACCTTTCAGAATAGCTTCAGGGGAGTTTCAACACACTGCATTTAGTTTTTCTTTGGTTTAAACGAGGTTTGTATTCCATTCTCTGTGTTCAGTTAGTTTCAATAGTCGTAGGAAAAATAGAAAAGAATCGAGATGTTATATATATTTTCTGGTGTAGGAACTGTTATATTTCCATGATATAATTTATTTGTCATTTTCCTTCTACGTTTGATAGAATTCGGTTTAGTGTATATTTCGGTTTGCGAATTAATATGTGACTAAAATAAAATCATCTTCAAATTGAAGATAATTTTATTTTATCATTTGAAATTAGTACCGTAATTATCTAAAATTATTTAAATGTAGCATGTCCTTTTGTAGCGTCATCCTGGATTCAACAGTATCGTAAGTATTATATAATTTATACAATTATCATAAGTCTATATACTTTTTTTATATATATTTGATTTTGAGATATAATCGTTATTTGTAATTCGTTTCTAGTAATTATCATTTCTTTTCTTTCTTTGATGTTCTATTAGATATTAAATAGTAAACTTGCACCTTGTTGTTATACCAGAAAATTACTTATATGGTGCGTTGATTCTGTCCAAATGATTGGTATGCCAAAAGTTTAATGTCTCGATTCCCATTAATCTATGATAATAAAAGTTTGAAAAACAATATTTAATAACGAAAATAATAGCTTGATGCTGTAAACTAAATTCATAATACTTTAAATTGCAAGTCTACTGTTATACGAGGTCAGTACTCGATTAGCATTGATCACGGCTGCTGTAAAGTAACTGAAAAGTTAGGTAAATTGTGAAATAGTTTTAGAAAATCAATTAATATATAAAAAAAGACTTTCATTTACATTTGTATTTCTGAAAATCTATATTTTTGTACACATAATAGTCACCCCATGCAATCGTTTGAAATAAAGTTTTTGTTCATTTCAATTGTATATACGCAGTTCGTGTCATAAACTTTGCTGTTTGATTTGAGTCCAAATTTTATAGTTTTATTGCAAAAAAAAAAAGATTGTTATCATCAATTTTTATTTCATTAAAAAATAAAAAATGATTATCCATTATTATGGCAACATAAATTTATGAGTAGGTCAGTGGTTCCAAAAAAGATGATTTAGAAACAACTTGTTTGGGAACATTGGGAAGGAACAAACTTATCGTTGACTCAATTTCATGAGAGTGTTCTCGAGATAATTGATGAAATAAACTTTAGAATGGTTATTTCCTAAATTTATTTTTCCAAAAATTATTGAAACTATATAAATTGTACTAAAATTACTCCGTAGAAGAAAAAAATATCTGAAAAACCTATTTTAATGGAATGTTTAGATAATTTTAACTACGTATACAAATTTTGTTTGCGTGAGCAATCACAAAAAAATTAAGTATAATAGCTTATTATGTCAAGTGTCACTACCGAAAAGTGCATATATATAAAAGTTAGGCATATTTTTAAAAGCAAGATTGTAGTTATACTGTAAAAAAATCTTTTAATTTTATCAATTTCAAATGATTTGTAATATTATAGATAGACATCTGGAAAGTAATTTCTCGTTAGTTTGTTGCTAGTTCTGTAAATATTTTAAACATCAGTATTATCGACAGAAATGTTATAATCTCTCTTCATTACTTGTTTTATTACTCTGAGTTGATTACTTTCCTTTTCTATGTTTTGTCTAATCTAAAAGTATATTAGTTTTACTCGGTTTAATTTTTATTAGCTACTATTTTTTACGTAAAGATTTTAAATTTTTATATAATTATTAAAAGACTTTCGCTATCATTGCGGCTATTCATTTCTGATTTGATATAATTATAAAAGCATTGGAAATAGTTGTTCGTTCTAAAATCTAAACGTTATTTTATCTTATTGTGTTTTTGTACCCCTACAACGAATCTTTTAATTTTACGGTTTGTTGTTCTGAATTGTCAATACTGCCTAGACAACTTGAAAACTAACAACACAAAGTCCTGAAGTATTGTGGAATAACTGTTGAAATTTTGATGTTTTATTTTTCAGATTTATGTTGTTATTCAAGCGTTTTAAATTTTTTCTGCCTCCACGTTTTGATAAACTTTTAATGGTTCGTGATATACGAAAGGAAAGAAAAAACTTTATACATATTTTCTGTATAAAAACACACACATGTATCTTCGTACCGTTTATCCAGAAATAAAACTCTGTTAGAGGTCCAAAAACTCTGATGTAGTTTCGGAATTAAAACAATGTGAGTTATTTTTTTCAAATCATAAACTTTTAATTTTTACACTGTTGCTCTCTAAAGAGCAAAAGTTTCATGATCAATAGTAACTTAATAATTATAAAAATGAAATGATAGTCGAAATCATGAGACTTCGATTATTTTATTTAATTGTATGAACAAAATATAATACTATGTACTATAGGTATATTTGGAACAGGATAGAGTGTCAATACAAATAAAATATTACATAAGCAGCTGATTAACACTCGCTTGTAATTCAATAAAAGACAAAATAACTAACTCATTTGCATAAACAAAACCACAAAATAAAACAAACAACCTTAAAATACTTTGTAATACTAATTTGTTCAAATTAAACAAATAGTGGCTTGGACCATCTGGGCCTTTTCTTAATTCTACCCGGCTAATGTGCCACAAATTATACAACATTTTGCTTTAGCTGTAATGTATAAGTGTATAAGTAATCCTGTGATTACCTCAGTTCAGGCTCCGTTTTCATTGCTCGTAAAGCTCGATGGTGCTACACCGGACCATCCATTGCACTATAAAGTGTCGGCTAATAGGGATTACCACACTTAACATGGAATTTACTTTAATGTTTTTCGGATAGTATAAAAATATTCCATTTCACTTATTATAACATTAAATTCTGTTAAGTATCATCGATTTTACGGTAAGCTTTATAATTAAATGCAACAATTAATTATGAGCATGTGTGAGATTAAAATTAATCGTTTTTAACAGTTGATTATTTATTGAGTACGGAGCATGATATGCTAAAAGCTCTCGTAATGCACTCCAATGTATTGACGTTATTATTTAACTAGGTTTTATCGACGTGTTCGCTTAAGGAAGTAATTTAGATCACCTTTGTTTTAGATAGATAGCACAAAATTGCTTAATTTTTATGAATGTACGCAGACTCACACATACACGCATTCTTAAATCTTTATAAAATCTAGAAAGTAGAATACTATGGTAATGTTACATAACATTTGTAATTTCCCTAATGTTGGTTTTAGCTTATTCCGCTATTGACATTGATTTATAATAAATTTCTAAGTAAGGGTTGACACAAACCTAGAAAGTTCCTATTCAGCATTACTTGCATTTCAAAAAGGATTGCTACATAAAATATTGGAATCGTGGCTTAAATCTTGGGACGTCAGTAACCAAATGTTATAAGCTAAAAATTCAATTCCATTTATCTCGAATTATCATTATTACATATTTTAGCTACTATTGTTTTATATTAACTATAGCTTTTCAAATAAATTCTTATCTTGTACGAATATAAATCCAACAGCTTAGTAAATCTTTATTGTTATAAAAGAGAGCACGTGAAGGATAAAGGTGTGCGGCAAAACTTTTGCATCGATAAAACTTGTTTGTAACTTTATGTTTCCGTATTAAATGGCTAACCATTAGATTATTACGTTTTGTCAGTTTGATTGCGACTTTATTATTTTTATATATAAAAACAAAAATACAATGACTAACATCAACAATGCCTAAAGTAATGCAATGTATCACAGTTTGCGGAACAGGTGATTAACGAACATTGTTTCAATGCAACGATTCATTACGTACCTTTACAATCTGTACGTTTTCAATTTGTTTGTGTAAAATGCTAGATATTTTATTGAAAAGTCAGTATGGCCTGCTATACTATCTTGTATTGAAGCAAAACAATTTATTATCTCGACGTCTATTTCTGAACTGTCAATGTCCAGACTAAAGTGCGAATATAAATTCCTAGCCTGAGGTAAAATTAGCGTGTAAGTCTAACGTGCTCGTTCATTGCAGTGTCTGGAACGTTTAGGACAGCCGTCTAACCACAGTTTGCGCTGGCTGCATCGACTGAAACCAACTGGCTAGGACTGGCACAGGAAATTAATATAAATTCCTATCACATGAACTCGAAACAGGGCGCTGAGCGGACTGTGATGAGCCTATTGTATGTTTCAATCCGGCGAACATATCTAGTTTATTCATGTTTGCATACGAAGTTACTATCAACCGATTGCTGTTTGTTTTGCATTTAAAAGACCAGTGATTTGGAATCGGTGTTTTATATATTCTAATCTATGTATATACAATTTAATCATATGCATAATATATTTATGTATACGCATGAAACTAAAATTTTGTGTATATTGAAACAAAAAAAATTAAGCGTTTATGATAAACATCTTATGTACTCAGTAGAATTCCTTTAACTACTGACAGATCACCTTAAAAATAATTACCCGAGAAATATATAATATCATTATAATCAGCAGATAAAATAAATGGTAAAATATTCGTCATTTGAGAAGTGTAAATAAAGTAGCAGGTTGATGTTTGTTCACATTTGGCTGTGTTATAAGTGTCTCTTGAAGAATACCTAAAATTAGTTTCATTTTATTAAAACACGTTAAACTATAAGTTTTGTATTATTATTCATTTTATATGTTCAAAACGCTATAATGACTTTTATGAGAGTTTCAAGTTCAGTGTATTATAAACTTCTGAACTAGGATTTTTTAAAGTAATTTTATTTTTAAACGTAAACTACAAATTAATAATAATAAAAATAATAAGGAGAATGTAACTGTAAGTTCTCTTAGTATGTACATGCATTCCGTCGTGAAATTGTCACCATGAATTTTGCGTGTGTTCGTATTCGGGAAGTGAGAAGCGGAATCCGCCTACTTAGGGGCAATACTATCGCACAAAAGAAAGAAATTGCTTCCATTTTCAAAATGAAACAGTTGGTTTGTCGATTTTGTGGGCCTTTTGTAACAACACCTTCATTGGTCCGTGTATGTATGTTACCGATTTCAACCTTTCAACTTTATGTCTTTTTACCTCAAACTTGTGCCGAAACTAGAACCATTTGTAATGAATCACCTGGTATGTTATTGTTATTTATAAGTTCATTTAAAACAAAAGAAATGTCTTAAAATACATGTCTTAGTATTGTTCAAAATTAATCTATAAAAGAAATATAAAATTCAAGTAATACAATTAGATATAAAATGTCCACGAACCGATTTTAAAGCATAGTAATATCATTGAACAATGTTCAAAGTTACGTCCAAAGTAACACAAATCTAGATAAAGTTTGTAAACTTATGTATGTTGTTTCGTTCAACTTTCATGACGACATGATATGTGATTCCCATTTGTCTTCTTGTAAAACGTCAAATGTATTATTTCTATTGTTTTGATTTATTTTTCTATTACAATATAAATATTTATAATTTTTGCGTTAATGTTAGGTGGTCATTGTAGGTAACACCTTTCTAATTCCAAAACCTTTAGTAAAGTTAAAATATTTTATTTAAATAATTTATGTTCCATGAATATTTAAATATTTTATGTTCCATTTATGTATTTTTATATGGTGGTTATGTAAGAGTATAAATGTTGCAAGTCACGGTTGCATTTTAGTCTCTAATAAACCAAAAATTACGTTCCAAGCGCCAAAGACAAATTGAAATTCTATGATACTGACACGCAGTATTTCCGTGTATACGTAAACCTTTGTGACATAATAATGGACCCAACTGTAGTCATTTTCATTGTTTAGAAAATTGTCGTAAATACTTTTTTCAATACAAATAACATTATATTATTTTATTCTAAAAATATAAGTCATAATATTATTTACTTTAAAGTTTTTGCTAAAACAACTGTAATTTTTAACACAGTTTTCGTTAGGTATTGGTCGAATAGTTTGAGGAATTATATCAAAAGTAAGCCAATAAAAAATAAAATATTTTCGGATCGATATAAGCAGATAAGTATGAATATCACATACGCGTAAAATGAAGGCCCTGATAAGGATATAAGTATGGTGAGACCTTAAGTATACCCCAAAAGGCTTGTCCTATGACAAATGCGATAGATAACTAAGTGTCAACTGCCTAACAAAAGGAATATAATAGTGTTCTCATATTCACATGTCACGGGTCGGGCTGCGTTTCAAATGCAAAAAGAGAAACATATCAAAGGGAAACCTTCACTGTTTAGATGAAGTGTGAAGATAAAATGAGCTCAGAGGGATGGTGAGATAAGGATGGATTCCAGTTCAAAGTACTGCCACCGCTCAATAGAGATTAAAAGTCATATTTATTATGATGAAATATTAAAGCACAAGTTGATTAGTGGCCTTTGAGTAATTACTGTGTTAAATTTAAATAGAATATTATACCACTAGTAAATTTTCTGTCTTTAAAATAAATTTTCCAAAAACAAAAATACAGGCAGTAATAATAAAAACATGTCATTTAATCATGTACATAGGTCAGTATATGTCTTTCTTAGATTTACTCGAAGCTAAAGTTAGTTATGACGAAGTTTGATTGTATGGAGAATAAACATTTGTTCCACGTTCCTTTGTTCTAAAGCCAGTTGTTAAGTTATTTCGAACCAAATGAAAAGATAACGAACTGTTATTCGCTCGACGTACAAAGCTCTGCCTAGCTTCATTTTCCGTTATGACCTCAGCGTCATAAACAAATCTGCATGGGAATAAAAACTGAAACCATAATCGTTGCCATTAGCTCCTGTTGGGAAATATGCTGGCTATCATACTCTATTATTTCGTGTTGAGGTTTTGTAAAAGAGATAAGCACTTTTTACGTTAGCTATTCCAAAAACAACACTATTTCAAAGGATAAAATAAAACGAATTAGCAATAAAAGTATATCGAGCCCGAACCCTCCGGATCAACGTGCCGGGTTAAATCAAACGTTATACGTCTTAGCAAATTACGGTCAGTGTTCATGTGTTGTCTAAATTCGGGTCAAAACAGAAACAGGTAAAGGGTTAATTGTGATTGACTGTCATATAACATTTTCTTCCCTTTGTTATGTCACTGCTTTTGTTAATAATTCAAGTTATTATGATTTGAAGTAATTCGAATCAACTTGACTTTTGAAATTGTTCTTGCTTATTTTTTCGATTAAAATTCTCGTTAGCTATTTGTTAAAGTCATATTTCGCTTTTAAATTTTATTGGGTTTGGAAAATGAAAACTGGAAAGGAAGTTTGAATTTGCATTACTATCACGGTGTCATACTCATTCTGTAACTTAGGGAGTAAAGCTTAGATGGAGCGTTAAGTCCTTGCGAACAATATTAAAGCCACGATAAACTTAAAAACAAGTTTAATCCGACTTGCCGAGTACTCTGTATACCTTTATCCCACCAAGATGCTGCCTTGCTATCGAATTAGCCTACTAAAAGGACCATAAGGTATTCTTTCCGTCTTGTTAGACAGTTTGATACGATAAATTTTAAAAGCCAGTTTGATACACTTATAACACAATGTTAGACAGAATGTTAGATATGGTTCTTTACTTTGTTTTTTAATAGAATTTATATTGTTTTATTTTTGTCGGTAAAAAAAAATTAATAAATTAGATTCCTATTCAACAAATGTCGAAAATTATGATATTATTTAATTCATGAAAATTAGCTTTTGGAGACACAAATAGAGGTCAAAGTTATCGTAAGTGTTGCTGTGTGACCACTTTTTAAATAAATAAAGCATTGGTTTTGTTTCGGGGTCGCTATCATTTAAATTATTATA